GCCATGCAACCTAAAATCTGTCAACTCAATACCCCACCTTTCTCTCCCCCAATCTAAGCATAGACCACCCTAAAAATGGTACATACAGGCAGTAAAGATGGATTTGTGTTTAAAAAAATTTAGTAACACCATATATAACTCTTTCTCTGTCAAACACACCATATTTTTTAAATATTATGACAATGAGGGTGATACTGCAGACATAATAAAGACATTATATTATAAATATCAAGAAAGCTGTGGAGAAGATTGTTCTTAATGCCATGAGCTTTCATGACATACAGGGAGTATTCTTGCTTACACACACAAAAATTTCTGTTATTATTTGCAAAAAACAAAAACAATGTAAATAAATGCGAAACTTTTAAACAGGCAGATCCTTTAAGAGAACCTGAAATTTCTTTCAGTGGCAGAAACACTCAAACAAAAACTACAGATTACAATATACCGTCCATAATGGCATACCATACAGGAATGTTTGGTCAAAGATTACATCTCATTCAACAACATATATTACCCCCCCCCCCCCCCCCCCCCCCCCCACACACACCAAAAAAAAAACTATATTATTTTCAAGACAGGGAATGTGAAGTTCAACAAGCCACATTAACAGACAAGAAAGTCAAGTTTAACAAGCCACATTAACAGACAAGTAAGTCAAGTTCAACTAGCCACATTACCAGACAAGTAAGTCAAGTTTAACAAGCCACATTAACAGACAAGTAAGTCAAGTTTAACAAGCCACATTACCAGACAAGTAAGTCAAGTTTAACAAGCCACATTAACAGACAAGTAAGTCAAGTTTAACAAGCTACATTAACAGACAAGTAAGTCAAGTTTAACAAGCCACATTAACGGACAAGTAAGTCAAGTTTAACAAGCCACATTAACAGACAAGTAAGTCAAGTTTAACAAGCCCCATTAACAGACAAGTAAGTCAAGTTTAACAAACCACATTAACAGACAAGTAAGTCAAGTTTAACAAGCCACATTAACAGACAAGTAAGTCAAGTTTAACAAGCCACATTAACAGACAAGTAAGTCAAGTTTAACAAGCCACATTAACAGACAAGTAAGTCAAGTTTAACAAGCCACATTAACAAACAAGTAAGTCAAGTTCAACAAGCTACATTAACAGACAAATAAGCCAAGTTTAACAAGCCACATTAACAGACAAGTAGGTCAAGTTTAACAAGCCACATTAACAGACAAGTAAGTCAAGTTTAACAAGCCACATTAACAGACAAGTAAGTCAAGTTTAACAAGCCACATTAACAGACAAAAAAGTCAAGTTTAACAAGCCACATTAACAGACAAGTCAAGTTCAACAAGCCAGATTAACAGACAAGTAAGTCAAGTTCAACAAGCCACATTAACAGACAAGTAAATCAAGTTTAACAAGCCACATTAACAGACAAGTAAGTCAAGTTTAACAAGCCACATTAACAGACAAGTAAGTCAAGTTTAACAAGCCACATTAACAGACAAGTAAGTCAAGTTTAACAAGCCACATTAACAGACAAGTAATTCAAGTTCAACAAGCCACATTAACAGACAAGTAAGTCAAGTTTAACAAGCCACATTAACAGACAAGTAAGTCAAGTTTAACAAGCCACATTAACAGACAAAAAAGTCAAGTTTAACAAGCCACATTAACAGACAAGTCAAGTTCAACAAGCCAGATTAACAGACAAGTAAGTCAAGTTCAACAAGCCACATTAACAGACAAGTAAATCAAGTTTAACAAGCCACATTAACAGACAAGTAAGTCAAGTTTAACAAGCCACATTAACAGACAAGTAAGTCAAGTTTAACAAGCCACATTAACAGACAAGTAAGTCAAGTTTAACAAGCCACATTAACAGACAAGTAATTCAAGTTCAACAAGCCACATTAACAGACAAGTAAGTCAAGTTTAACAAGCCACATTAACAGACAAGTAAGTCAAGTTTAACAAGCCACATTAACAGACAAGTAAGTCAAGTTTAACAAGCCACATTAACAGACAAGTAATTCAAGTTCAACAAGCCACATTAACAGACAAGTAAGTCAAGTTCAACAAGCCATATTAACAGACAAGTAAGTCAAGTTTAACAAGCCACATTAACAGACAAGTAAGTCAAGTTTAACAAGCCACATTAACAGACAAGTAAGTCAAGTTTAACAAGCCACATTAACAGACAAGTCAAGTTCAACAAGCCACATTAACAGACAAGTAAGTCAAATTTAACAAGCCACATTAACAGACAAGTAAGTCAAATTTAACAAGCCACATTAACAGACAAGTAAGTCAAATTTAACAAGCTACATTAACAGACAAGTAAGTCAAGTTCAACAAGCCATATTAACAGACAAGTAAGTCAAGTTCAACAAGCCACATTAACAGACAAGTAAGTCAAGTTTAACAAGCCACATTAACAGACAAGTAAGTCAAGTTCAACAAGCCATATTAACAGACAAGTCAGTCAAGTAAAGGACCCTTGCTCATGCCAGTGGTGTACTGGACATTCAGTGCTGGTCACTCATATATTTTTATAAGCCCAATCAGCCCTGGATGGGTGATATGGTCAACATCACACAGAAATGTAAAATACCACACTGAAAAAAAAGAGGTAACAAAAGATAACTAACTGAATGTTCATGTCAGTGTGTGACAGTAACATAATCAGCATAGTCCCCATTTTAAGCAGCGATAATGCTAGTAGCAGTACTAGCCCAATCTGCCCTCAAAATCTATTTATTCGCAGTTCACTCATGGAAGCATTTCCAGTCTGCTCAAAGACCAATGGACACATAAATGTACTACTGAGTAACAGACACGTTTCTCTGAACACTGTTTTTGCACTGTTTGAGATCAGTAAACATATGTCAATTCTGGCCTGTCTAATGCCATAGATTTTAGCCATGCCACATACAGAAAAGACTTCAGTGAACGAATGTGAACGTCAGGTGGCATCAAAGATAATGGCAGTCTTGTCATGTTCTCAGATGAGTCGAGATTCATGAGGCAAAGGAACATAAGCAGAATCAGGGCACACATGACGTCCACATGAGTGATATGTTTATAATTGCACCCATGAGGCTCTGAACTTTGGTTAGGGCAGCATCATCGTATGGGGAGGAATAACATAGAATTTTATACCACAGCTGGTGCCAATTCAGGAGAACAACACTGCACAGCAGTACATACACAATGTACTGACACCACATGCTGTGCCATTTTTCTAAACTCATGGACACAACTACTTTTATGCACAACAATGTAACCCCTCATCAAGCACGACTATCACTGCATTTCCTTTGCTAGTGGTACACTGGGCATATGATGACAAACATTTTTTTTTATTTCTTTCAAATAGGTGATCTGGTCAAAATTATATGAGCTGCTTTTTTTCCTAGAATATTTCTTGTGCCCATATGAGGCTGGGTCAACCCAGAAACAGAGGTCAACCATGTGTCGAAAAAATTTTTTTTTAAAATCAGTTACAAATTGAAACCCAAGACCTTTGGGCCAGCAGGCAAGTGTCTAGCCACTGCGGCTCCTGGTCAGCAAGTGGTATCAATAAGTATTTTCAATAATTCAGCTATAAGCTACCGACACCAGCTTCCTTAGAAATAAACTAGGTGCACAGTCTATGCATACAATTTAGCTTTTTAAATGCAGAACAAAGGAATGAGGTGTCAAAACTGACAACCACAATAACATGGTTCAGATTGGGAGAATTTAGACAAGAAATATCCTGAAGTAATCATCAATGTAAACAACATACATATATTTGTTTCTTACAAATAACTAAAACAATAATGTAAACAGAATAACTGAAGATCTAGACAAGAGATAATAAAGATAAGCATTCATTAACAATATCTATGCAGAACACAGGGCATTCAATGCTAAGACAGAATAACAAATGTGGAGCATCAAGACCAAATCTAGTTTTTTTTTAACTGGTATGAAAACAATTACAGTATTTGTCAGTGTACAAGACACTCATTTATATAAGACACACCACAAAATCTAAAGACATTTTCTAGAAAAAGTTCAAATTTAAAGAAAAATATAACTTTTTAAAAATTATTCAGATCGTCCGACTTTTGTCTTCATATTCCATGTGGTTTTTGTCTGCATACAGTCCACGGCACTTCATACAGCACTGACAACCTCCCCCCCCCCCCCCCCCATTATTACTTGGAAGGGAAAAACTAGAGTGCAGACAATTGTAAATAACGGTACATCTGGGCCTACCTTTGTTGTATAAGATGCAGAGTAATTTTAAGGCCCAAAAATGTTTTATACACAACAAATACGGTATATTTGAAATTTAAAAAAATAAAAAAACTTTTCTGCATAAAGCAGACTAAATTTAAAGAGAAAATCTGGGACAGAAAGAAAAAAGATAAAATATCTGCTGCATTCCTAGCAGCTGTCATATTGAAATGTTTACTTCCATACAAATACAAATTGTAGACAGACTCTCTGCTAGCAGTCCTTTTGTCTTTGTATCTCATTGTCTGCTTTTTTGTCTGTTTTACTGTGCCTTTATCTCCCTGGCCTCTCTCTTTCATTCTCTGTCTGTTTTTCTCTCATTCTTTAGCTATCTCTCATTCTCTAGATCTCTCTCATTCTCTAGATCTCTCTCATTCTCTTTGACTCTAGATATCTATGCATCTCTCTCATTCTCTATCCCCAATCTCTCTGCTTCTCTTACTCCCTCTCTCTGTACTTCTAACTCTCTCTCTCTTTGTGCTTCTCTCACTCCTCCTCTCTTTCTCTCTGTGCTTCTCTCACTCTCTCCTGTGTTGAAAAAAAAACAAAAAAGGAATGAAACACTTATAAATAACAAATCTACGACACATACAATCTGCATGCATGTACAAATTGCTCCGTTGAAATATACAAAATATTTAAAAGGCAAACCATAGGTTATATTGTTAACTACCCTCTACTGCATGCTGTTATCCTTCTGTCATTAGAGGACAAACAAAAACAGCCAATTATTTCAGTGATGAAATTTGTCTATGGTCTTCCTTGGTCTGACACCGTTTGACAATGCACTTGTTTGTTCAATGAGGGGCCGTTGTACGCTGCTGCTATCTTCAGAAGCAGAAGACTCACTCAGTTCATCATCTGACTCACTTCTCACATCTTTTTCAATCTGAATCACAATAGAGACAAGATTATATAGATAGATTTGATTTGTTAATGACATGTCATTTTTTTCTCCAATCATCTGTCCAATAATAACAATTTAAAAGAAAACACACACACACAGAAACAACTCAATAATGGAACAGTTATTCATTTAAACCACACAAAAAAGAGGTCTTTAACTCTTTGAGTCCCATGTGGTTTAGAATCCCAGGCCCAAGGGGTAGTCAAAAGAGACGTAAAATGTAAAATCGGCGCATCATGCGTTCATTGGGCCTCTAGGTAGGAATCTATGAATGTATTATGCGTTCCTTGGGACTCAACAAGTTAAGAAATAAAACACTAAAATTTTTATATTAAACATTATTCTTCCCCCCCCCCCCCCCCCTTTTTTTTTAAAGCCCACTAATATAATAATTCCTGTTTGCCACAATAAGTAGTAAAATATTACTTCTAATTTGCTACATTGGGTAGGCCCTATGCTCCACTGAGAGAATAAATGGCAGAACAAAGAAGAATATGTGCTACAATTAGCAGTAAAATGAAAAAAAAAAAAAAAAGATATTATTTAAACATGCTTCTTTCCTGCTTGTTTGCTCTGCTTCGGTCGAAGGATTCAACAGTTTTTGCATGTTAATTTAGTAAATTTCTGCTTTTTATCTCTCCTTACCTTGGAACTATGTCCACAGCCAATGTATATTATTCCAACAGCTCCTGAACAGAAAGCCTCACTTGCGAAGCACTGGCTGTTTGTTTTCTCCTTGTTGGTCTTTATAGAAATAGCATGTACACATGGAGCCGTCAGTAGAGTTGTTTTTTTTTTTTAAATTGTATAGGTTATCAGTTCCCTCCACACCTCTGGAACTGTTAAAGATAAAGTTGAGAGGACTGGCTTCACTGCCCTGAGGTTTTATTCCATATGGCTCTGCTTTCCTTCACAAAATGGTTAGTTCCAGTCAATAGCACATCACAAAGCACAAACTCCATAGCTTTAGTGATGACCCTCCCCCAAAGGACTTTGACCACATCTAACTTGTTATGAATGAATTCATTACTATGGTGCAGAGTCAGCCACTTCATTTGCCTGTTCATTTACCACAATTGCCACAGATCTCACAACTATACTGACCAGGCCTCCATCAGGCCCTCTAAACTCGTTACTTATTCATTTGTTTAATACCCATGGGCTGTTATTATTAATATTCTCAGTAACAAATGAACTTGAAACAAATCCATGAAACTAGACCTGCATAAAGCACAAATCATGCATTAGAGTTTCATCAGCAGCGTAGATTAACAGCTTGAGATTAACAACATATGTCATTCGGAGGTGGCAGGTTCAAATCCTGGTATGGTAAATACAGCTTTCAATTTGTCTGCTGTGTGTCCTACTTTCTCTACTCCTTTCCCTGTGCATCTATCAGTATCAACCAAGACCATGTCAATTTGTTTACCATGATGTTGCAATGGCCTCGAGGGTTACCCAGCAATTTATATTTCTGTAAATTAGAAAGAGTGCAGAGCAGTGTTTCTCAAAGTGGAGCCCACATCCCACACAGGGGACATTCTATTGTTAAGGGGGCACAATTTGACTGTTAAGTTAAGCAACTTGACTGTTTAGGGAAAGGGGGGTGGAAAAGGGGGGGGGGGGCAATTTGAAAATGGACTCATCCATAGTTTAAGTTACATAGAGGGCATACACATTTTAGAAAGACTTAGGCGAGGCGTGGCACACAATTTTGAGAAACACTGGTTAGAAGCAACAGCAGTGTGGTTTCTGAAATAAATTCTGTCAGTAACTTGGATGGCCAAAATAACAAATGCACACTGTCTAGAAGAAGCTGATAAATTGAGAACATTATATGGAACTAGAAGACACTTTGAGACAAAGCAGTGAACAAACATTCAACCGTCTGTTGGAAATGGGTATTAAATGAGGACAAGCATGCAGAACCGGGTGCGGTGCGAAGAAAGATGATATGCTGGTCAACTACTACTGAGTATGTTGGGCATGGGGACACTGAGATAGCTGCTGCACTGGACTGAGAATAAATGGGTCAGACCGTGGATATGCTAATATGTTGATATGGACAACAAGTAATATGAGAACAAGGAGTATGTCCTTTATCAGATAATAACATGAATGGCAAGAGAGGGATCACTATGCATGGACAACTCATGGTCTCTACAATACTGTCCAGGCAGACCAAGTGCATAGGGATTCATATTGAAGGCGAATGGACGACGCTTGGTGCAACAAAGCCTGGCATATGACATCACAACATCTAGTTTGAGAATGGAGGTGGAAGCAGTCACTGTTGCCTTCCGCTGGCTTGAGAATCAGCTCTACACACATGCCGTCATTATAACTGACTCACAAGCCATGCTGAGAAAGGGAGAGGCAAGCATGCTCCGTGCAGAGTGGCAAGCATCACTTCAAAGGTCCTGGGTAGTTAGCATCCTTTAGAAATTTTTCCAGGTCATGCCAGTGTGTTGGGACATGAGCAGGCAGATAGACTGGCCGGTTTTGCACAACTTGGTGATGAACTGGTGTATGGCCATTGAGTTAACCGTATGTGTCGATTCCTCCCCACCAAATATATGGTTGACACATTCCGTTTCTGGGGACAGCTTTTATCGAGTTTGCTCTCTAGACAGTTGCAGTCCCCTGCTGACGAGATTCTGTCTTCCCGAGTGGACCGCCGCGATCAAAACATTGCGAAGGCAGCGTGGTCAAGGCTGCCAAAACTATCGGTCATTATCCCGCCCCGACACAGCACAACCACAATACACGCTGTTCCCGCGAAAAACACATAATATCCTGCGTTGGAAATGCGCATAAAATAGCAGTCCATGATTATAGAACAGAATAATCCGAGAGAATTGACAGCCAGCGACAATAAACACAGCTGCTGTCCGCCATTTTGAAAACGGAAGTCCCGAACTGATGTATGACAAGCTAGATGTTGTGAGGGCCCTTTGGGAGTGAGTGAACAGAGCCGAGGCACAGATAGATCATCACAGTCTGAGGGAAATGGCACTGCGAGGAGTTACAAGGGGATCTGGCAGACACTCAAGACGTATATACAATCAGAAAGTTACTGATGCCATCGGAATTTTAACTCTTCGCTTGCTGCTGAAGAAGGGGACAGAGTGCTTATGGGGGTGTCCCGAGTGCTGTGATGTTGATTCTCAATTCAAAATCCAATACTGTCCAGGTTTTGTGCTATGGAGAGGAGGAACTTCATTCCTGGTCTTAACAAACACAGCTATGAGTTGTGATTGCCATGTCTTCCTGGATCACAGTACAACATTATCATTTGAAAAGACGGAAACGGGACAACTGGAAAGATCAACGTTAGAAGAATAGACGAGGACAGACAATTAATGATGATGGATGATGGCACAGAGAAATATCATCAATAAATCCAACCCATAATACCAAGGACCCACCACTGTGTTTATGTTTATGTTTATTCAACAGATGCCCGGCTCGCTAGCGTAGTTGGCTAAACCGGATTGCGTGGTGACCGGGTGACGAACTCCTTGTGGTCCGGATTCACTCCCAGGGGTAGGCAGGAAAGCCACATTTCTCCCAAAATTTACGGCTTTTATAATGGAAACAAGGCCGAAGGGTTGCGATATCCATAATACCGAGCCTAAGGGTTAACAGCTAATGGCTTCTGGATACTTACAAAAAAAAAAAAATTCAACAGATCAACATCATGGCACATGGGTATAACCCATAAGTGCTCTGTTCTACTTCTAACACAAGCATGAGTCGAACTGGAGAAATACGGCGGCCTTTGCCACTTGACAAGGAATGTGATGACGTAAATGTAAAATGCAAAGTAAGCATAAACTCACAGCTCCGGTTTGAAACTTCTGAAAGGCAATGTTCAATATTAGATAGGTCCACATTATATGCAGCAACTGCAGCACTAAAAGCAGGCCGTTGAAAAACCAGTAGGCTGGAAATGTCGTCACATAATCATGAATCTCTACAGCAGTTGTATTCAGAATCCTGAAATACAACCAAATATAAAATTAACAATAATTTCAGCTTGTTTGCTAAAGCACTCAAATCTTAAATACCGAAAGTAAATATTACATGCCCAGCAAAACAACAAAAAATTTCTTGCTTACTTTCAACTTTTAGCTTAGCTGCAGTCAAAGGTGCATTAGAATATATTCAGCTGCATCTGATATTTGTTTACTTTTAATATTTATTTGTAACAATTGTAATCTTCACAAAGGTAAGGCCCTATCACTCTAAACAAGCTTCAATAAATGTGGAATGTTTAATTTTTAAAGTGTCTTGGGCTGCAATCTGAAAGATTTTATAGAAGATTGGGGAAAAGAGCCTACAACCGGTGAACAAAGAAGAAAAGAAGAAGCACGTCTACAATACAGGGACTAAAGTGAATATATTGGATATACAAGTGGAGTTACAAGAGTGCGAGGCAATGAAAGAGTTGAATTTCTGACTACAAAAGTGACAGCTATGAAAACACTTGCACCGAATAAAGGAGACATTCTTAAGACCATTTATGAACGACTACTGATACAAGATATGAAGTTAGATGAAATAATGTGTGTAAGAATGTGTGAACGAGAAATTAGGTGTGGATCCAGGAAGGAAGGACATATAAGAGGAAGAGAATGATGTGCTTATAATTAGTATGTTACGGGAACAGTTCGAGTCTACACCCTGAGATATTTGTTGCGGGAGACGGAGCACCTATGGGTAAGTCTGGTGTGCTATAATATTGATTCTTAAATTAGTAAAGCAGTCAATAATTCTTAAAGGTTGGGAGGCAGGTATTTGAGACAATAACCTCCCCCCCCCCCCCCCCCCCCCCACCTCCTCCTCGAACTCCCCATTTTGTTTTCAAATGCCATTCAAACAAGAACAAATCACATCAAATATTAACCATATTCAGCAGTTATGTGCAGTTTATATGAGTGACTACAATATCTTCTTCTTTCTTGTATTCATTGGTTGTAAATTCAGACAGTGGAAATTCTAGCTGTTCATACACTTCTGGACTTTAGTTCTGTTCCACAACTTGAATTTTAGTGCACATTCGTTTGACAGATCTGACTTATATGTATGCAGACTGTTGGTTCCTTGTTAGAGTATAAAAACTTATTGTTGGGTGTTACTCACAGATATATGAGAGAGAGAAACCCAGGTCAAGTGATGCTGAGATTGTGAGAATATTAATAATATTTTTGAGATTATGAGAATATTAATAATAACAGCCCATGGATATTAAACTAATGAATAAGTAACGAGTTCAGGGGGCTAGTACCAGAATATTCATGAAGCATGTGAGAAATGCCAGCCACAATTCAGCTTGAAGGAGCATGAACACAAACTGAACGAAGAATTGGATGAGAGAGGAATTCAGATCGTGACTGAAGGGAAGTGAGAATTGAGGAAGGCCTGGTCAGTATAGTTGTGAGACCTGTGTAAATTATGTCAAATCTGGCAGCTGATATGATTCTCAGACTTCAAGCTTGTTTACACCTGATATTTCAGTTCGAAATATCAACCTGCAGGTAGGCCCTACTACTATTATCATTGAAGTTTTGGAGCCGCATAAGCGCAGTCGACAGGAGACTCACTTTCAAATCCAGCTGCGACTCGCTGCAGCCCATGGCCAGTGTTCAAAGCGGGCAGTTCCCAGGGTTAACCCAGCCTCTAGGTAATGGGTACCAGAGTTAACACTCTGGGGGGTAAATAAAGGAACGTCACTGTAGCTACAGAGTTGGGTGAAGACGGCAACACAGACGGACAGTTTCTTATCAGCTGTCCATAATGGTGGCAGAGCACTTATGGTTTATAACTATGTGCAATGACGCTAATTTACACCTACCGACTTTCCATTTACCTTGACTATTCTCATTATTTCAACAAGTGACTGGGTTTATAGTCAGTCTCCATGCTGTTGCCAAGATGGGCATATTCATTCACATACATTGTGCCACTACAATCATCCTAAGTGACTGAGCTTCAAGCTGGCAGTGTCACAAGATTACCACCCATGTCTTGCCTGAGTGCACTGTTAGGACTGTCAGTAACAATTTACACTGCAATGTTTTTTTGAGGGTCTTAGATAATGACATTATACGTCATATGTATTGTTCTTCATCCCTAAGTTTGTTAGAATGACACTAGATGTCACACATATTGTTCATGTCAACTTATTTACCACTTTAGCTCAAGAAGTTCACATCGAATTTGTGCTCATTACACTTCAATTTTAGCAAAAGCAACTAATCAACCCTCTTCACACTATTGGCATATCACACATCACTACGAGCCCATATTTTTAGACACTGGCACTCAATGGGTGATGTGGTCAACATCTCACTGGCCACCTTTACTTCCAAAGAAATTACCTGGTACCCACTCAAAGCACCTGGGTCGAACTGGGAGCTGTAAACCGACATTGCCCGCACTACACAAGAACTTTTCAGACTTATTATTGACTAATCAGCCATCTTCGGACTTATAATCATTGATCATTACGACTTTGGATGAAAGTGGTTTTCATCACTCGTGATGGACGAACATCAAACCGACTGTATACTCCGGCGAAAAGTTTTGGTTGTTCATCCGCCTCTGGACTTTAGACTTGTTCCAAAACCTGAGTGTTGCATGCACATTCGTTTTACAGACCTGACTTATTTTATTTAGACTGTTGGTTCCTTGTCTGTCAGGCAGATGCACTCCAACTTCAAAGGAAGCCCCTAATTAGTCAACTCTTGCAACATGCTTGTCAGAGGCAGTGGGCCTATTTTTTATTTCTACACAATGGGGCCCCAAAATCAACACAAGGAACACCAATCCCCTTTAATCCCAGTGTTTTGTGGTTTACAATTAGGTTGCAATATTGTCTTTAAGCTCATAAAATTTAATTTCAATAAATCATCAATCACTTTTAATGATATGCTTGACAAGCGGCAGTGGATCTATTAATCTCCCCCCTCCCCACCAGTGGAGTAACAGAACCACACTCAAAGTATGCGAGGCCAGTATCTGGGGCCTTCGGTTTCATTTTGGTCTCGACGCAAATTTCAATATCCCCTATATTGTAACTTCTAATGTCAATATTTAGTTTAAATAATCATGGCAATTATTAACCACTGTTCTAGAACAGTCAATTAAAATTTGCTGCGTTATATCTTTACATCTTGAAGTGTTTAACTACTTAAGAAAAATATTTTTTAAGGGAAGACAAAAGAAAGAAGAAGAAAATATGGTTACTTACCAGATAGGAAAAACAACTAATCTGGATATGATCCAAACGAACAGTAAAATAACAAAGGATATTTCACACATCGTTTGGTACTTTGCATACTTGAACATTTTTGTAATCTACACGTCAGGAAAAGAATATCATTATTACAATATAGAAACAGTTAATACAAATAAAGGAACATAAATAACAAAAGGAACATAAATAACAAACAACAACAAATGGAATCAATGATCACATTTGTATACAATAACTATAAATATCATCAAGTACTGTTTCTCTTCACACCTCACCACACTCATATATATTTCATAAACAGAAAACAAAATCTTTTGTGATAAATGGTACAATTAATGAAAAAAGACAAGGAGGCAGGCAGGCAATGAATGAGTGAACATTCTTGACAGTCTTCTATCATGGCATGGTGTTTACTCTTAAAAGAGTGTTTGGCCTATTGTGTGGTTTACAGCCAAGCTGCAGTATCAGCAAACCTTTAATTAATTCTCTTTTAAGACATGCTAGTTTGAATATGGGATCCCAAAACCCCGGGGGTGGGGGGGTGGGGTGGGGGGGGGGGGTGGGGGGGGGAAGAGAGAATGAACTGATGCAGAATGGGTGATAAATAAGACACATGATCACCTAAGCCAGCTGGTAACGTATTAGCTGATAGTGACGATTAGTTTTAGTATTCCCTTTCAAAATGTTACGTGATAACACTCAACACTTCTTATTACAGTTTAAGCTGTGTGGCATTGGTCATCAAGTCTGTTCACTGCTTTTTACTCAATGCTACCATATCAACATCATTTTGGAAACAGATGTCCCTCAATGCAATCTTCTATCTTGGTTTTCTCTGCACCCAAAGATGAGGATTATCTTCTGATGCAGGCAACCAGTTACACTTTTTTTTACTGACCAAAGAGTTCTCATCATTATCAATAATCGATTCTGACATTGTTATTATTTAAACACTGTAGTGGGCTGTCCTAATAGTCTCCGAGTTATATAGCCCTGTGTATATTACGATTCATACATGTGAGCTTAAGCTATCATATATCACAACATCTAGTTGGAGAATAGAGGTAGAGGCAGTCACTGCATCTTCTACTGCCATGAGAGCCAGCTGCTTACACATCTTCTTATTGATTCTTAACAGATTCAGAAAGATAGTAGAGAAAGGCAGAAACAGGCATGTTTTGTGCAGAGTGGCAAGCATCACTTCAGAGGTCACAGGTAGTTAGAATCTTTTAGAACTTTTTTCTAAGGCACACTGGCATCTTGGTAAATGAACAGGCAGATGGACTGGCCGACTCTGCATCACAGTAATGAATTCATTGATAACAAGTTATATGTGGTTAAAGCCCTTTGGGAGCAGGTGAACATTGCAAAGATTGAATAATTTAATCACAGTCGGAGAGAATTGTGCAGCTGAAAGTGACCAGGGATTCATCTGCTTGACCCCCAAAACTCTTAGAAAAGAAATGACGGACATATAATCAAACTGCTAATGGCACCATCAGAATTGGAACTTAGCACTGGCTGCTAAAGATAGGGACAGAGCACATATAGGAATGTCCTGAGTGCTGTAATGTTGGTTCTTTGGTGACCACTGTTTTCAGATGTTAGAAGCTGACACTCTGATGTCATTTATGGTTAAGATGATGAAACGAAAACTGCACTCTGAATATCAACTCTCTATTTTGCTGATATTCACCCCTTTAAGGGGTAATGACGACGATGGCCTGATAAACCATACAAAACTATCAAATAAACAAACGGACTAAAAATTTGTCTCAAGCTATAGGACCCTTTTCCATTTCTTCTGGCATAGTGGGCACATAGGTCTAGACCTATACTTTACAGAACAATCAGCACTCGGTGGGTGATCTGGTCAACATCACACCGGCCACCTTTATTTCCCAAGATTTTACCTGGTACCCACTTAAGGCTGGGTAGACCTGGGAGCCAAGATCATTTTTGGAGAAAACAAAAGTCCAGACTTAAACCCATGACCTTTCATATCTGCAGGTAAGTGTTTAGCCACAACAACATTGATACTCCCCCCCCCCCCCCCCTACTAATCAAGCTGCCAGTTCTTTCTCATCAGGCCTGCAGAAAGAGGCTCAGATCCTTGCAAATTCTCAGGTTAAGCATGCTCACCCACAAGATATTTCAAATCTCTTGGTCCATGTAAGTGCATGTCTAACCCTGCCTCTTCTGGGTACTACACAATCAAATACTGTTTTTTTTAAGCCACTGCTGTGTTTAATGTGGCTGAAGTATTCAGCTTCAAGACAAGGTGGTGTTTAAGAACCAGTTTTTGCTATGTTCAAATCTTGTACACTGTCCAAAGAAAGTTAAATGGATTGAGCAAGGTGAGACACACTGTCAGTTTATTACTGTAAACTGATGAAGACTTTCGAGCTAAAACATTCATTTTGTCACTCGTCGCCTTCTTCTTCTTCTTTCGTTCACCTGAAATAAATTGCCTACATCAGCAATTTGATCTCTCATATAAATTTGTTGTTGTTGTTGTTGTTCATTCAGTGGTCCTTAGAGTTTACGTTCCACCGTTGTTCTTTCTGGCCAAAAAGTTGGCCTTAATGTGTCATATTTAGTGCAGTCCAGGTGTACATGTTCTGCTGTCTGGGGCAACTTTTCACATGGATTATCCCTAGTACTATCTGGGAATTCTATGTACACTCCCACACTTTTGATTCTGTTACTGGTAAGCTGACTTGTTATAATTTCCAGTTCTGTTGATTTTCCATTGTAAAATATCCGCATTTTTCTTCTTTTAAACCCACATTGGCACGTGCAATAAATAATAATATGAACGAACACTCAATTGTTACAACAGAAAAATCAAAAAGAACGACAGAAAAAATGGTAGAATACCAGTTAACAAATGAAAACATAATATAACCTCAAAGACTTACATTGAGCCATGGATCTGCTGCATCATGAAGCACTAAAATAAGACTTCCACCTCGCACAAAGTTGCAAGCCCATGAAAAATAGACAAGCAGGATGGTCGCCAAATGATGCATGATCATTTCCTTCTTATCCTTTAAATAAAAATATAAAAAATGTGCACACAAAGTTTTAAATTATGTGCATGTGTCTGCATACAGGATTTTAATATAAGACAATTTGAGTGGTGATGCACATAATTTATGGGTCCTATCACATTTGATAAGCAGGATGGTCACCAAATGATGAATGATCATTTATTCTTATTCTTCATATTTTCTTTTAATGGTGGACACCAACAATTAAATAATGTGTATGAGTAGATGTTTTATATTAGAAAGTATGAGGATGCATGTTCTGGTAATCTGGTAATCTTAGTTTCAGCTTCATAGCAAACGGGTCACCAAATAGTTGCTCCGTTCCTGTGCCAATTGAAAAAAAAAAAAAACTAATGTTCATAACAGTCCCTTGTGGAAAGATTGATAGACTGCTGTCTCAGCATATCTAGCATACACACGCATTAAGAGAATATGGCAGCCATCCAAAGTGCCAACACAAACAGTCCAACATTAGAAATACAGTTTATCATAAATGGTAGCAGAAGTCAACAACAGATCAGCAGTTGCACACGCGATCAATTTTAATCACCTAATGGCACCACCAATATTGCGATAACAGGCATTGCGCCATTTTTAGAATCTACAAATCACACCACCATGCTGGTCACAGTCGAAAAACTTTCCAAATAAAATCTGCAGCTCACAGTGTCATGCCATGCATTCGACTAAGAAGCTGGCTGACGAAACTATATCCTTTCAGTCTATTAATGGAGCAAAAATGCAACGGCCACTGTTTGGCAGAAGCAAAAAAATTGCCAGGCTCTAAACAGTGGCCGTGCCTAGCGCCCATTTTGACCGCTGGTCCAGTTAGGTTTTAACTTGAGTAATCACTGCGTGAAATAACATCTATTTTATCTTCTGTAACTAGGCAGTTATTCTATTTATAGTTCACGTCTGTACACAGCCTTCTGGCACATGTATTCAAAATCAATTGTCATGCAAACGTTTTTCTATATCATGATGTCAAGCTATTGACCACATTATCGCTGGCCTGCCTTTCCTCTCCTCCACCTTTTCCAAATACAACTGCTGTGTGAAAGATCAGTGTTTGAAAGGGCCAAATGTAAGACAGGCCTATATGCCCAGTTTGTGACCCTTTGAAAATAAAGTTAATTCATTGGTTTGTTCTCCACGGTTACTCCAGTGCCTTCATTCTCACAATGTGATGCAGCGAAGTAGCTTCAGGCCACAGCCACAGTGTGCTAAGTTTATTTCACACATCTGGTGGGGAATTTCTGTTTTTAGTTTAATTTGTGTTTTTGCTTAATTATGTTGGTAACATTGTTTACTTGTATTTTCACCATCTTGTTCCCATCAAATTTTTCATGATAAATTATAATATCTAAAACTAAACTCATATTAGATTATGCACTGGGGTTAAGAAGAAAAAAAGGTTCGAAGCAGACTGAAGGAAAGCATGTCATTAAAAAAAAAAAAAGGATTTTTTAAAGTTATGCCTGTTATAACTTAAAACTGTTCGACAAAATACCACAAGGGAGTGTACTCTCTTTCCCTAGCAACATTTCAGGTTGAGCTGGTTTAAGTTAGCAGCGTATCCTTTACAGGACGTTGAAAAACCAACCCCAGCATTTTTTGGCTGTTGTGGTTTTTCTAGGTAAATTTTATATTCAGTAATTTGCCACTGCTGAAATGTCAGCTCTCGTTACCACTGTCAAAAGACAAACCATACGCAGCTGGGATCAAACCCAACATTACAAAGTGCGTTCGTAACGCCTAAGCCACAGACCCCGAGTAGATTGTCAAAAGCCTGTTCCACGTGAAAAGGGAGGGGGAAACTACCAGATTATATGTCCTAAGAAAATTGTCATGACAGCTGACGAGAATCCTTGTGCATAAAAGTGCAAGAAAAAGTAATCTTTCTAACAGACTGCAATGGGAAAACATTCAGCAAAGATGAAAATGAAGCATTGCTAGCCTAATTTATGCATACACATTAGAAAAATAACTGTAATGGGTACAACACGACATTACTACATAATGAGTATTAAAAAATATGTGATAAATTTTCACACACAATTTTAACATTACTCACTTATCCTTGTGTTTTATAAGAATCATGCCAAACTCAAGATTGTTCTTTTTGGTTTATACATTTCTAAACTCTACCCCTTATACTACATCAATGGTTATTTTTCCAAGGTAAGACATCTATACTTAAGATAAAAATGCATTATTACATCCTCCCCCAACAAACAAAAAATGTTTACATTTTCATTATGTTGACAATTATATATCTCTAGAAAAAGGGTTTTGAATTGTAATGATTCCCATTTCATGTCCTTGTTTCCGTTAACTTGTATGGTTTAAGCTTAACTTACCAAGTCCAAATATGCTGTCCCAACTGGAGTTTTCTCTTAATGTGATACAGCCTAATGAGATCAACACACCAGGCACCCCTAATTTGGTGCAGAAGACCAAAATATGACTCTACAAAAATCTTCACATGGCTACAAAGTCTTTAAAAAACAACAGAATAACACCCTAGGTATCGTATCCCTACTTCTGTGTGGAGATTTTTGGGTTTCTTTGTTCAGCGGCTGTAAGCTCTGGTGGAAAGCCCTGGTTGTTCTTCCATTTGAGCTTTGGCTTTATGCCAAGGGTCTGAGTTTTGCATGTGCATCCGTTTTACTGGCTTATTTGCATGTATTTGGTTGTTCCGTGCCGCTAAGGCAGATGCACTCCAAGATCGAAGGAAGCTCCCAATTAGTAGACTGCTTTGATACGCTTGTTGGGGAAGCTGTGGATCTATTCCTGTTTTCCGCACAATAGGCCCCAAGAAACCATACCAGGAGTGCAGAGGTTCAAATATAGCTGTCTCCATCGCTGTCCCTTCAAAGCTATTATTGTATACCACCTCGAACAAGTATGGCCAAACCCAGGTGTCGCATGTTGTAAAAGACAGTTGAAACTGGCCAAATGAAGTGTGGTATCAGATGTATCTCCTGTACAGCTACAATATCACTGATGTATGTTAAGCCTTCTTCACCATGTGGTGCCCGGTGTCATCAAGAATAGGACCACTGATTCCTTTCAGGATGTCATAAGAGGTGACTAAGAGGGGTTGGCATAGGGCCAGCAACCCCACACTGTAAAATAGATAACCTCTACAGAAACAGAGACAAAAATAAATATAAATAATATTCATGGAGATTCGGATGTCAAAGATGTAGGTGACAGTTTGTCTCTGCCTTATGTGCCTCAGGGTGCAATGAGGATTGATTGATGCTAAGCCTTCCAGAATAGGACTTCAATTTTGTGCACTGGTACATTTCAAGAACAGACAGTGAATACCGCTGAGGCTCAGATGGATGTATTTGAGCCGTGTCCATCTGACTCCAGCTCACCTGCTATGTAGACTTCGAAATGGGTTTGCTTCATGTAAACAGCAGAAACACTAGCCCGACATGATGGAAAAACCAAACAGATAACACAGTATCAGTAAATACACATGCTGAAAGACAAACTCAAGGACGGCTTTGCACAGATGCATGAACTCCATAGCAAGACCAACAATTTTTGAGAAAAACTCCTGGTTTACATGTTAACAAAACAGTTACATGTAAGAGATGAAAAATGTTCATCTTTTACATGAAAAAGAAGTGGTTATGAAAAAACAACTGTCCCCACTATCAATGATCCATTTATCAAGGATAAAAAAAAGTCCGGTAAATAAGTAAATAAAGTAAAGGTAAAAATACCAGCTGCCTTTATTTCATAGGAAAATGCCTGGTATCCTTTTTAGGCTAGGTTAACTATTAAATGAAGGCTGCCATTCTGTCTAAAACTCATCTTATGTTGTAGCTGTCCCCTGCAAAGTGGTGAGTCATGGAAGCAGTGTGTCTTAGTGGGCAACAGACCCACTGCCCCTGACAAGCATGCCATAAGATGTTACTAACTAGGAGTTAAAATTAGATGTGTTGGGCTGAAAGATGCAGATATTGCTGCCTAGCTGTAAACTACGACACAACTTGCCATAAGCCTTTTAAGGCAAATGCAGCAGAAGAAGAAGAAAAAGTATGTAAAAAGTCAATACACGTTACCCCTAGAGCTAACGGTCTAAATATGTCAAGTTTATGACAGGCGCTGCAACTAAAATAAATTACATGAGTCTTTACAACAAGAAACGCTCTTCATGATTCCTACTGAGCTAGACTTATTTAAAAAGTAACCATGGCTTCCAGGTTGACCCAGCCTTAAATGGGTGCCAGGGATAGTCCTGAGAAGTAAAGACGGCTGGCGTGATGTTGACCACATCACCTGCCTTATGCCGATTGATCTATAAAATATAGGTCTAGCCCCATATGCCCAGTACGCCTGATAAAGTTCTTTTACTTTGCTGATTAAAAAAAAACAAGGAAACTGAACAATTTTACTGTTTAATATTCTAACCAACAGTAAACTAATCAAACAACTTAAACACTAATTTAAGTAGTCAGTGCACTTAGTGAGGCAGCATGCTAAAACAGACACGAAAACCAGGTAGGAAAAGCTGCTAGCAAAAAACAATAGCAATAACAACAAACACTGACCTTTTTCTGGTAATCTCTTTTAAAGAAAATATCAAACAATAAGCTCCAGTAAAAACTCAGCTCCAACAAGTACAGAATAAAAATATCATTATCAATGTGCTGAAAAGAGAAAATAAAACATTTTCTTTTTTTTTACCTCACTTATCAAATTTTACATCAGAGTCATGGTAAATGAGCAAATCAGTAGAAAACATCAATGTTTTAAATGAAATTCTTGTTTCCATTAGGTTCATAACATAAGACAATGGTTGGGAGTGCTAACACATGCAATAAATGCCTGAAGTGGTATGTGTATGCTGGCAGTCATGTTGCAAGTGGGCCCAACACAGTTACATCACCAGATGAAGGATGAAGAAGATAAGATGGTGGTAAAGGCATTTTAAGTCCTATAAATTCTTAACAAAGTTGTAGGCAGATACACATCAGGAATAATGTGAATGTTAGTTTCCAGGAAAATATTAGGCAAGAGAATTATGGAGCGATTAAGTGATGCAACTGATAAACAACTAGGAATAAACAGGCAAACGTGCTTCCAACCAAAAAAACTACATTAACGAGACAGCATCACTAGGCATATTAATATAGAAAAGCATTACAATGATATCACCCCTTTATATTTGTAGTCTATGAAAAAAAGACCCCTGATAGCACTGACTAGAAATCTCTTGTAATTGCGGCATATCATCAGTTCTCATTATACCTAGCGGCACATGAGGCTTCAGAGAGGACTTTCCATGCTTTCCTGTCCTGTGCAATCTTCAGTGCAGTTTTCCATGTCAAAGATGCCGCACTCAGGTCACTTTCCATCGTTCGTCTCCATGTTGTTTTTGGGCGCCCCTGTTTTCTCTTTCCCTCTGGTGTCCATCTGAGAGCTGTTTTGGCAGGTATATCAGAAGTCATTCTCATAACGTGGCCAAGTCATTTCCATCTTCTCTTGGTAATCATACTGTCTAAAGTTTCTTGGTTTGTGGCTTGAAGTAGTTTAGTGTTTGAGATTGTATCTGGCCAGAAAATTTTGATAATTCTACGTAGACATGTGTGGTGGAAGGTGGACAGCTTGTGTGTGCATCCTTTTTGGTCATTCTCCAGCACTCCGCTCCATAAAGAAGAACTGGCAAAATGATGCTCTTTTGGAGTCGGAGTTTTGATCCTCTGCAGTAATTGTTGGATTTCCAGATTTGCCTCATCCTTCCAAAAGCAGCTCTAGCTTTGTTCAGGCGTGACTGTATATCTTCCTCCCCCCCCCCCCCCCCCCCCCCCCCCCGCCCCCAAGTAGGGACACCACACTGCCAAGATATGTGAAATGTTCTACATTTTCAAGTGATTGGTTACTTAAGGTCACTGGTTGTTGGTTTGGACTGTTTGTCATGATCTTAGTTTCCTTTGTATTTATTCTCAGTCCCACCATTTCTGCTGTGCAGTGTAGTCTGTTACTTTTCTCTTGTATATGTTCATGTTTATGTGATAGGAGTGCTAAATCATCTGCAAAATCAAGGTCCTCAAGCATGGTGAATGGAGTCCATCATATGCCTCTTAATGTCCTGTCTACTGTGTTCTTTAGTATCCAATCAATCACAAGGTTGAAGAGGAGAGATGACATAACACATCCCTGTAATTGCGGCCTATATTGACATGAAATTAGCTCTTTCTCAGGGAAAATTAACACACATTTGAAAACAGAACAGTTGTGTGACAGGGGTGGGTGCCTTTTGTCACATAGAATAGATTATGAAAACAACAGCAGCAAAATAGCAAAAGAACAAAATATCTAACTGTGGACAGACATCTGTAGTAGTGATCATCGGGACAAAAGAACAAAATATCTAACTGTGGACAGACATCTGTAGTAGTGATCATCAGGACAAAAGAACAAAATATCTAACTGTGGACAGACATCTGTAGTAGTGATCATCAGGACAAAAGAACAAAATATCTAACTGTGGACAGACATCTGTAGTAGTGATCATCAGGACAAAAGAACAAAATATCTAACTGTGGACAGACATCTGTAGTAGTGATCATCAGGACAAAAGAACAAAATATCTAACTGTGGACAGACATCTGTAGTAGTGATCATCGGGACAAAAGAACAAAATATCTAACTGTGGACAGACATCTGTAGTAGTGATCATCGGGACAAAAGAACAAAATATCTAACTGTGGACAGACATCTGTAGTAGTGATTATCGGGACAAAAGAACAAAATATCTAACTGTGGACAGACATCTGTAGTAGTGATCATCGGGACAAAAGAACAAAATATCTAACTGTGGACAGACATCTGTAGTAGTGATCATCAGGACAAAAGAACAAAATATCTAACTGTGGACAGACATCTGTAGTAGTGATCATCAGGACAAAAGAACAAAATATCTAACTGTGGACAGACATCTGTAGTAGTGATCATCAGGACAAAAGAACAAAATATCTAACTGTGGACAGACATCTGTAGTAGTGATCATCAGGACAAAAGAACAAAATATCTAACTGTGGACAGACATCTGTAGTAGTGATCATCAGGACAAAAGAACAAAATATCTAACTGTGGACAGACATCTGTAGTAGTGATCATCAGGACAAAAGAACAAAATATCTAACTGTGGACAGACATCTGTAGTAGTGATCATCAGGACAAAAGAACAAAATATCTAACTGTGGACAGACATCTGTAGTAGTGATCATCAGGACAAAAGAAAAAAAAAATAATAATTTGGCTGGAGACTAAACACTTCTTCTTCGTGTTCACCAGCTGTAAACTCTGGTGGGAAGTTCTGGTTGTTCATCCACCTTTGGACTGCAGTCCTGTTCCAGAACCTGAGTGTTGCGTGTGTATCCATTTTACAGATCTGACTAATTTGTATGCAGACTGATGGTTCCTTGCTTCTCAGGCAGATACACTCCGACTTCGAAGGAAGCTCCCTATTAGTCGACTCTTACGACCTGCTTTTGGGTAGGCAGGGGGTCTATTCTTGTTTTCCCTATACTAAACGCTAAATTTTCAAACACTTAGCAGTATTGATTCTTTTCTTCAAATTCCTTCCTTTCTTCTCTTCCTTCAGTCAACTCAGTCAAGTATGGTTGAAAATCTGTCTGCTCTTTATAATGCAAGATGAAAGCTGGTCTTCAGTTCTCTAAGGTTATTTTTGATACCATCCTTTCATCTTTTGCATGTCCTTTTCCTGGCTCTGCGTTCATTATATTTCTTCAGTGCAGCTCACTGTAGCAGCAGGCCAGTCTCCCTAATGGGCCAAACCGTGAAATCTGCTACTCTTTAATGAGCTTTATGGCTGGTGTCAGTCCTAGTTTTCTTCAAATGTCATCATTTTGAATTGTACCTCTTCTTGTTACTTTAGCAGCTCTTGTGAGACATCCAATTTCTGTTATTCTTCCACTTTTTAGTTGTAAGGGTCCATTTCTGACACTGGCAGCATAGTGTCTAAAAACTGTTATTACATATGCCTTGACAGACACATGCATCTTATAATCCACTGAAACGCTGAAAACCCCCAAAAAATGATTTTATTGTGGCCAAGATAAATATGTCATACATGAAGCAAAGCATGTCGTCCAAACGAACATTTATCCCAAATCTGGCTCAGCTGAGACGGCTTCTGGTCAGCAGATCTATGTATGCGTATGAAGTATGCAGAGAAGAATGAATATTACATTTTGTTTTAAACTTGGAAAAGTGCTGGTGAGTTAGTTGAGTAACCAAAAACAAGTTTATGGGGATTACTGTTTATATTGTGCACAGATATTCAGAGCAGTGATTAAAACTCTGTGCTCTCAGTCTGAGACCCATGTGCAAATCCATGGTAAGATTAAAATTTTTTGTCTAGGACAACAAACAAAAATTCCAAGTTTTACAGTTCATGGTGAGTACACTAGTGACGCGGTCCAAGTCCCCAGAAAATATATAGCCTCACCTACACACTCCTGTCTCACCCTGCCCCCCCCCCCCCCCCCCAGCCCCTTTCATACCCAAAATTAAATACAGACAGTAAAATAGTTTTGTTTTTTAAAATCACAAATGATGTTAAATTAGTTTTAAGAAATCAAAGAAACTCACCTGCTTTGGCCAACCAACCCAACAATTGACTGTAACCCACAACCATGGTTTCTGCAATTATAGAACAAGGGTAGTACTGAGCAAAACATATTTTAGACACTTCTTCTGCTTAGACTCTAGACATTTCTTCACTCATATTTTAGACAGTCATTCCATTTACACTTTAGACATTTCTTCCACTGTCATTAAGTTTCAATATTTTTTTTTTTTATTAATCACCACATTCTGACTAACCTTTTTTTTTTAAAGTAGACAATTTTTTCAAGACTTCCTTAAGATAAATTTCACAACAAAAATTATATCTGCTGGGGAAAATACATGTAACTGATGTAAGGTGAACTTACATAAATACAACTGGGGTCAAAGGCTAGAAAATCAACTTCTATGCACTGGGTTTTATTCCTATGACTCTCTCTCTCTCTCCAGAGAGAGAGGGGCTTACGTACTGTGAGTGCTGCCCAAATCATTATACTCCAATGCTCTAGCAACAATACCCTCTGGGATCACTGAAACATCTACACACTAAAGGACAGTTTGAAGTTGCACCCACAATCGCAGAGCAAGAGACAAACAGCTGAACTACTGTGCCATGAAAATTGCTGACAACACATGAATGTAGTAATGCTGAGTTTAAATCCCCATTAGTTACTAACATCATGAAGGCTAAAAGACTAGGATGGTTGGGATAATAGCAGATAATAAATAACTACTGTGTACACAAAAGAGCTGAATAGGAGTAGCCCACAGGACAGACCAAAAATGATGAAGAGATAATAAACAGGCAGATCTAGAAAAACCTGGGGTCACCTACTGGAAAGAAAAAGCCAACCTGAGAGATGAACTGAGGCAGATGACATCTGCAACAATAAATCTCAATGGCTCAAATGCTGAAGAAGAAGAAGATAACAATATAAAATAAAATACAACTAATTTATAATTTAAAGCATGCAAATATTTGGCTCATGACAGTTTCTGTCTCAGAAAAGTTTTCACGTTAGATGCCCAAGGCTGGAAATTAAACAGTATGAGAAAATATGATAGTATGGCTTTAAATAAGGCTAAATACACATCAGAGGTGGCTACTGCAGAAGCAAGATTTCTATACTATGCTATAAGAAAATGTAAAAAGAGAACAGGTTACAGCGTTGCTGGAAATCAATGGGAAGAGAAAATCACATGTCATATGTTGTCTGGGACTGAAAAAGTTTAAAATGTAATAAAACAAAATAACATATTATATATTGTTTGGTAATGAAAGGATTCATATACGATTATAACTGCCAAGATCGAAGGAATGCTTTATTCAATAATTAAAAAAAAAATCCTTCACATTAAAACCTGTTTTCTTCACACTGAAAAGTTGCAGCTCAATTCAATGAATATCTTTTATAATGTTTCCATGTTTTGAAGGATCAGTGTTTGCAACAGCTGTGTCATCACTAGCTTTTGCTTCTTGCACTGCAATATCATAAATGACGGACTTACTCTAATGAAATTAATTGCACGGGATTAATGAAATTAATAAAAACAATTTCATTATGCTAAAAGCTATGCATTAAAATATATTGATTTTTGTAGGCATATAGCATAACTAGAATGTCTTTGCATTGGAACCCACAGGGGCATAGGAATAAAGGAAGGCCAAAAAACACATGGAGAAGAGAGCTGGAGAATGAAGTTACAAAGATGGGGAGGACATGGGGAGAGCTCCATGTAACGGCAAAGGTTAGAATGACTTGGCATGAGTTGGTTGAGGGCCTATGCTCCATTGGGGGATAGAAAGGCAGAAGAAGAGAAGAAGAGAAAACAGGCTACTGACGCAAGCCATTTTCATCACTTAACTCATTGCTCACAGATAACATGCAAACTAAAATATTATTTAGCTAAATGCTTATTTAAATACAATGGCATAACTCACTGTAATGAAAAATCTATCAACCCACTGTAGGGTTCCCTCAGTATTCAACTGAAGATCCAATTTTATGCTATGCATATTAGGTCTATTATGCTAAGACAACATTTAAGACTAATTTGCATCCACTGGTTCGTATGGTCAGCCATCTTTAATTTACCATAAAACTTTATGTTATGGCACTCTTTGAAAGAAATGTTATCTTGGCCATGAAAAATACACCACACGGATCACTAAAAAAGGTGATTATGACTATTTAAATGAACAAAACTGCCTTTTATTGAAAACGGTCATATAGATATTACAATTGAAATCCAAGGTAAAGTTGCAAAGAACAAACTGAACAGGAAGAAATTAACAAACAAACCCTTTAACACAGATTACTTACGCTAGTCTGAAAATGTGCTTATCTTACCGGTGCCCACAGGAGAAGCAAAGAGTAGTCACACTGTAACCTATCATACATTAGAGAGGTTGGTATGAGACCGGCTACCTCTCTTCTACCACTTATCACCTAGTGGAGCATAGGCCCTCAACCAATTTATATCATCTTATCATTTGCTAGTGCTTGCAGCCCCCCCCCCCCCCCCATGCCTTCCCTATCATTTTAAATTCACCCCCTAGCTCCCCTCTCCATGTATTATTTTTGGTATGCCTTTATTTCCATGCCCCTGTTGGTTCTAGTGTATAGACATTCTAAGTATACTGTGCTCAGATTTGCTCAATATATGTTCCATTCAACTCCAGCATCTCACTGGAATTAGTTCAGTTCTCATCCAAAGCAAGACCTTAGTGATTCTATCATATGATTTAATTCATTGTATTGTGTGCAAGCACCAGTTAATAAATGTCTGTAGTTTACTTTAAATTTTAGGTTTAGTATTAGTTTTAATTTCCTTTGGCTTCCATAGATTTCCTCTTAGTGCAATGAAAACTTTTGACTTTAGTATTAATATTTTAATATCTCTATTAGTATCTCCCATCTTTATCTAAAGAAATAAATGTATGTGGACTAATGGCAAACAAACAAACAAAGATATCTGCTTTAGTTAAAACTATCATCAACTTGAAGTCAGAACAACAACTCTGTTGAAAGGAAATAAACAACAAAACAGACTCCCCAACAAGTTCCAAGTAACTGTTGTCACATTAAATGTGACACTGTTTACTTACAGCTAATAGATATACTCATAACTTAGATATGGCTTCAAACACAACAACCTGGAAAATACACAATATGACAAGCAGTATGGTGAATTTCTTGTTGTTGTAAATTTACATGACAAGTGAATATACTAAAGGTGTTTTTAATCAAGAAAGCAGCTTGCAGGATGTGGTGTGATTTACAGCTAGGCTGCGATACATCAGCATTTTGACCCAACACATCCAGTATAGATCAATCTATGCTAAACTGACAGAGATATAAAATATGAATACAAAAGATAAGACAAGCTTTCATGGCAGTTGGAAATTTGTGGAGGTCAACAGAAACTAAAACTAATACTTAACTTAAAATGTTTAATTCTAATGTCAAATCAGTGCTGTTGTAGTTAGCGGAAACATGGAGAACTAAAACAATTACTAATAATCTTCAGACATTCATTAACTGGTGCTTGGGCAGAATAGAGGGAATTAAATGATATGACAGAATAACTAATGTAGAGCTTTGGGAGAGAACTAAAGAGTTCCAGCAGACCAAGGAAAGACACTGGCATTGAATAAGACACACAATGAGAAAACCTGAGAACAATATAACTTTAATGTCTTTGCACTGGAACCCACAGGGGCATAGAAATAAAGGTAGACCCAAACATAAACGCATAGACAGGGATGCTGGAGAGTGAAGTTGAAAAAAAAAAGATGGGAAGGAAACTGGGTGAGCTGCATGCAATAGCGAAGGATAGAATGACTTGGTGTGAGGTGGTTAAGGGCCTATGCTCCACTGGGGGTTAGAAAGGCAGAAGAATCGAAGCTTAATGGACAATGTGGTCAACATCATACTGGTTTCCTAGGTTATCGCAGCTGCTTTCTGATTCCACATACAGATTTTTAAATTGTGTGTGTCCAAAGCAACTCATGTGACCCCAAAAGTAGTGAACAACTTCAAGAAAGGCACAGAGACGGAGCTGCAGCTCTCCCATTAAATAGTAGTCACCACAATAAGGGTGTCAGGCACTGGGTCATACAAAATGTAGATTCCTAAATCAAGACAATAGACATACAAGAATAGATAAAAAGAGAGCGAGAACCCAAACCTCCTGATCATGACCACAGAGTGCCTACATTCAGCAGTAATGACAACGGCAGGGTACTCTTGGTCAAATTTTTTTTTTTTTTTCAACAAACAGCCACCGAAACCAGAAAGCTATAGCCCCCCAAGTACTATGCCACAAGGCTTGGCATACAGTTGCTGCCTGCGGCAGCAAAACTGATATCCATTTCTTTTTAGTGAGTGCAAGTTGGTAAAAAAAAGACAGCAATTTCAAGAGGCTCAACGTAAACAGAAAATGTGCCAAATTATCAGGAGCAAGTGGTGCCAGATATCTGAGATGTCCGTGTTTACAACAATGTAGGAAAGAAATCAAAACCGCACTTACTAAGAAAATCCCCTACCAGAAAGCTCAGAAGAGATACGAGGCACCCAGGCGCATCACCATGCAGGAAACATCACAACTCTAAAGTCACATCACTCAACAGAACAAAGAGATAATATTCTAAGCAGGAAAAGCTTACGAAGAAGCCAAGAAGCTTGAATCCAGAAAATAACCCGACGAGACTAGAAACATTCTAGAGGACACAAGAAAAACCAAAACAAATCAAACTGGAAGTAGTCCAGAATGCAAACAAAATTGCACATGGAAACAAGAATAAAGGTTAAAGCAATAAGTGGCACAATAGAGAAGCCCCAGCTGACAGACCAGATCGTTCAGCTGAAAAAGTAAAGCAGATCCCTCAAGGCAGAAAAAAAAATAGCTGAAGATACGCAGAAAGCACAAATACGGAAAGAAAGAAAGGAAATAACCAACATCCTCAGAGACAAGCACAAAACAGCTAATAAACATGACCCAAATGTAACAGTGGAAAGGGAGAAATGGAAGCAGCACTCAACAACACCACCCTCACAATAGCAAAGCAGAAGATAGTAGACGAAACCAGACCCAGAGAATAAAAAAAAGAAATGAAACAAACAATCAACAAACAAAAGAACAGCACAAGAAATACCAAAGGAAAAGGCAGGAGCAACAAGTGCAAAGGAACCTACATATTCAGCAACTAGAAGAAGAGGAAAAGCAACTGAATCTTCACTTACAGCAAATAGAGACTGAAGAAAAAGAAACATGACCAAGACAGCAGAAAGAAGAAGAAGAAGAAGAAGAAGAAGAAGAAGAAGAAACCACTCCAAAAGCTAAAACAACAAGAAATAACCATACAAGAAACAAAAGAAACTAAGAAAAAGGTGACATGGCGGACAACACATCACAGAGAGCAAACAGGAAAAATACCTCCAAGGACTAGACTTTATCAGGACTCTTAACAGCAGCAGACAACTTCATGAGCCCAGACCTCAGCAGACATAAATGGCAAGTAAACCCAGGCACAACCATAAGCCACAGACAAATTAAAGAAACAATACAAAGGTCAATGACCACAGATATAACCATAGTTTAGATAGAAGCCGGTTAAACGTGGTTCAGGGTGTTTTTCCTTTTGTTTTCTCCCCAAAATAGAAATGAATCTAAACCTTATTTGACTATGACATCCGGTGTTTGGTTTTCCAGCCTCTTTGAAGGGAGAGGGGTTGAAGAACCATTGCCTCCATAACAAGCATGTCATTAAGGGTGACCAATTATGGGTTGCTAAAACCAGATGTGTTGGGCCCGAAATGTGCAAATTTTGTGGCCTGGTTGTAAACCACAACTAATGTGTCACCAACCACTCTTTTATGAGTAAACACAAAAGAAGTAGAAGAAGCTAAAATTCTACAACCCTTACATAACATCAGCTATATTTTATTTAATATGTCAAGAAAAACTGGGCCGTTACTTACATCCCACAAGGCATATAATCCATAGGAAAAAGACACTGTATAAAATAAAAACTGCCAACTGAAAAATAAAAACAGAATTTATAAATTAAATGTAAATTACATTTTTACACTTTAAATTACATCTTATATATTTTATTCTGCAAATTTTTTTTAAATGCATTTTTATGTTTTTATTTTACTTTAAAATTTTTTTTTTTTTTTTTTGGTTAAGTTACATTGTAAAACTTTTTTTAAAGGCATTCCCATGATTTCTCTACCCATATCAGAAGCCAGCTTACAGTTTCAGTGTGTCAAATGTAGCCTAATTATATGTTCCTCTTGCTTTTTCTCGGAGTGATGAGTGATGCCAGACCCTCATATCACTCACCTTTGCATTGTTCTTTTTATACAGTTGTGATATGTTTCCTGCTGTTCACATTTTAATAATGTCTCGGTTTCTTCAATCTACTTGTTTCTATTTAAGTGCCTGTTCAGTCGGCTCCCGTTGCTTAGGCATTGCGAACGTGCTTCGTAATGCCGAGTTAGATTACAGCCGCCGAAGATCTGTCTTGCGTGGTTTTGACAGTGGTCCCAAAACCTGACCGTTCAGAAAGCAATGGCAAACAACTGAATTTAAAATTTGCCTAAAGAAACCACAACAACCAAAAAACATGCTCGGTTTAGTTCTGCAATGTCCTGTAAAGGATACACAACTAACTTTTAAGTACCTGTTTACTTCTCCTTAGGATGTGTCTAACATATGACCGTCTTTCTTGTCTTATAACAGTTATACCAGCAGCTGTTCAGACGTCTCTCTTTATTCTTCGCCTTTCGCGATTTCATTTAATTGAATGTTCATCAATTTTCGTAGGCATTTGTTTTTTTTTATCCATTTAATTTGATTATATTAAATTAACCAATAAGTTTGGCAGAAAAGTTTAAAAAACAGAAAAAGCACATGATTGCTACACATTGATTCTATTCAATTATTCAATCACTATAACAGAAATGTCCATGTCCAGTTTTTCACTCTTAAATATCATATGATGTATACTTGTTAATGACTAACTATGCAGATTTTACTCTCAATTTTATCTCACCTTTACGCTTTTTAGATGACAAAATGTTGAATGTTGAATTAAGAATTGACATCATAACATTCAGGACACTCCCATAAGTGCTCTATCCTCATCTTCAACAGCTAGTGAAGAGTTCCAATTTCGATGGTACCAGTAACAGTCTTATTGTATATCTGTCTCTTAAATGTTGGGCGTTGTCCAGATTCACTAGTAACTCCTTGCAGCACCACTTTCCTCAGACCGTAATGATCTATTTGTGCCTTCTTACTGTTCACTGGCTCCCAAAGGGCCTTCACAACAACCAGTTTGTTTTATATCAGTTCAATACCAAGTGGTGCAGAACCGGCCAGTCTATCTGCCTGCTCATTTCCCAACACAATGGCATACCCTAGAGAAAATATCCAAAAAAACGCTAACTACCCGGGACCTCAGAAGCATTGCTTGCCACACTGCAGGGAGCATGCCTGTCTCCATCATTCTCAACATACTCTGTGAGTCAGTTACAATTATGATGTTTGTGTACAGCTGATTCTCAATCCAGCAGAAGGCAGCAGTGACTGCCTCCAACTCCATTCTCAAACTAGAAGCTGGGATATTATATGCCAGGTGAAAGCGAACTAAGCGATGTCCATTTGCTTTTGCTATGAACCTCCATGCATTCCTCTACCTCTCAACAGTTTTTAGATGACAGTGTTCCACTGTCCTATAGAAAGGCATGGGAATCACAACCCATGGTTACTAGCAAGTCCAGTTCTCACTAAGAAGATTTCTCCACAATAAGTGTATGTGATTTTAGGTCATCACTTGCATTTAACATGCTTCTTCTCCGACGCTCAGCTCAAAACCTGTCACCAATCCTTTTCTTTTTTGTCTCTATCCCCTCCTTAAATTTCATCCTCCATGAAATATTAGCTTTGGTACTCTGCCTGCTTCAATCCAGCACATCTGCCTGCTTCAATCCAGCGCAATATTCTCATAAATTATCCTCAAAAATGTTACAGAATATACAAACATGAAGAAAGCTGGGAAAACAATTAATATTGCTACTTATTTTTCTGTGCATTTACTGGCTATAAACTCCAGTGGAAAGCTCTGGTCATCGTTTGTCCACTTCTGGTTTTGTTCCAAAACTTGAATTTTGTATGCACATTCGTTTTACAGATCTGATTTAATTGTGTGCAGACTGCTGATCCCTTATCTCTCAGGCAGAACCACTGCGACAATGAAGGAAACAGCCCCAATTAGTTGCTTTTTATTATATGCTTTTTAGGGGCAGTGTGTCCATTCTTGTTTTCCCCAACATGTGGTCCCAGAACCCATATTGGGAAAATTTTTAATAAAAGGTTTAGGCAACTCTGAAATGAAAATATTTGCAATAAACAAGACAAGGTCAGAGTTATGCTATGTCTTTACCTGCATTCTGTAAATTTGTACATTGAAGATGGCACTTCACGTAGCCTTCTCTTAAACAACCACCTCTGAACTTGTTTCTCTGTCATGTTCAATTGCTTTAATAGTTTCTGAAATAAATTCATCATTATAAGCAATTGCAAGCTTTGAGGCATACAACAGTTTTTTTCCAAAAATTCCTGTAGTGATTCTTTTCATATAAGCTCATGTCTCTAAAATTATTTATAAATGTTGTTGAATGACTACATTTTTTTTTTAATTGTTGTTCTAATATTCCAGCTTCTGTTTCTTCTCTTCAGTTACCTCAGCAAAGAGTTTGGAGCAAATGCAAGGATCTTTTTTTTAATGTACTGTGCCTGTTAGGTCTTCATCAGGATTATTCTTAATGCTGTCATTCCATCTGTTGTCTTCTCTCTCTTCAGTGTTCAAAGTGTGTCTTCAATGTGGCTTTCTATAAATGTTGATAGCAGAGAATTCTCATCGGCCAGCCAAGGAATTTCACCTGTTGCTTTTTAATGAACTGTGTAACTGGTTTCAGTCCTAGTTCTCTATTTTCTTGAATGTAAATGTAATCTGTTCTCATTACTCGGACAGGTCTCCTTAGACACCTCATTTCTGTTGAAATTCTCCAGTTTGTTAGCTAAATAAACAAAAGTAAGAGTATGCTCACCTCAATCTCACTCTGTGGTATTTTTGAGCGGTACGTCCTGTAGGCTGCTTCCAGGGGTGGAAGATCAGGCAAATAAATCAGCTTTCTTTCTCGAAGTCCCAGACAGTGTGCCAGGGGCTTTATAAGAATGCTACAAAATAGGAAAATAAAACAGTCTGTCAGTGAAATCAAAACAATCTGATGAAAAGATTCAGCTATTATTGTGGACCTAAGAACTAGTACTGGCTTCCTTTCGAGGAAGTAAAACTGGTCCTGCAGTGAATACCAGCTCACTGGGGTATTCCAGGAAATGAAAAGGTAGATTCCAGGAAATGAAAAGGTAGATTAGCTGGATACAGCAGAATGTTATCTTCCACAACCTCATCCATCCTAGAACTACAGAGAATACAAATCTGTCCTAAGGCAGTCCATCTGGCGAACAAGAAAGGGAGTGGAGGTATGACAGAGTGAAAACTGCAGACTGGAGAATGATAAAATAAACAACAGTATGGACCACACACAGAAAAAAAAACTATTTTTCCTGGCATATGATGATACATTTTCCCAAATTTCTAAGTTTAAAATTGGGGGTCATCTCATGCATGGAATGTGATTAAAATATATATTTTCTTAATCTGGGGGCTAAACAAAAACAGGGTAGTCTTATACATGCAGGGATAGTATATATATATATATGTTGTATACATGCAGGGATCCTATATATATATATATATATATATATATATATATATATATATGTGTGTGTGTGTGTGTATATATATATATATATGTGTGTGTGTATATATATATATATATATATATATATATGTTGTATACATGCAGGGATCATATATATATATATATATATATATATATATATATATATATATATATATATATATATATATATATGTCGTATACATGCAAGGATTTTATATATTTTTAGAGTAATTTTTAACCTCTGGACAGGACACTGCAGAACAGTACACCTACACATAATGTATTGCAGAACAGCCCTGTCCGTTGCCTAGAGAAGTGAAAATCTGGCCCACAGGATCTACATTAGACAACCTGTGGAAGACTGGTTGTGACATATTTTTTACTGTTCTGATATGATGCAGCTGATCCAGGCATTATTGGATGTTTGCATTGTTGAGGTAGAACACAGCAGAAGAAGACAAGAGAATGGTTGGTTGTTCAGTTGGTCAGAGGCTTTCAGATGACCTGAGTTTTAATTCTGGAGACTACTGGCTTAATGTTCAAGTTATTTTAGACCTGAAAAAGGCCTACATATGTGGGGTTGAGTTGGTGTAGAGACTTTCCTCCTGACCTGGTACCAGCATTACATCCATGGGGACTGTGCTGTCAAGGTCTCCTTTCTCCTATCAAAGCACAGGAATCAATAGGGAGTGCAGTCACATGTAAAGTGCGGACTTCCGGCGACTACCGCCACTGGCGAGAATATCTCCCACACCGCACGCAGCGGCGTTGAGTGGGGCTAAACTAGAGGGCTGAGACTCACGAGCAAATAAAATGAAGGAAGCTGCAGGAGATGCGGTAGCTGTCGCTCGTGAGTCCAAGACATCTAGCTTAGCCCCGCTCAATGCTGCGCGTAGAGGCATGGGAGACACTCTCTGCGGTGGCGGTAGACACCGGAAGTCTGCAATTTAAGTCGCCGGTATGCAATTTACATGAATAAATGTCAATGAGGCCCTGTTCATGTGTATTTTTGGCCGCCATAATATGTTCCCGTTATTCGGAGGATAGCGAAAATTAATATCTGTGCTTCCAATTGACGTACATTCAAAAATAGATTTAAATATGAGGTACCATAGAATTTCATTTTTGAAGTGGAATCCAACTATACTAGTTGCGTGCTTTAAAAAAAGAATTTACAAAATCTTAATAAAGTATCTATTAATAAAATCTGAAAGTAAACAAATTTTAAAGTGTATTTTAATTATTTTACTTCCCTTTATTATAAAAGTAAAAACAAAAATACAGACAGTGTGTGTACATACCTTTCAATCATATATCTAACAAACAAAAGTAGAACACCAATGACAATTGACCAGTTCATGTGAGATATTTTAGGATAGTAAACTGATGGATCGTCGCTGACGAAATCCTCCCAGCGAGCGTCATCTCCGAGCCAGAATTGTTCATTCCAAATAAACTCCTGACAACGATTCCAAATCGTCTCCATCTTGATTCTTGCATCTACAACAGGGCTGTCGAAATTTTTTAAATTAAATTGTCAATTTTATTTTCAGAATGTACCAAAACATCCCAAAAGTTTCCAAATTCTTTATTTTCAATTAAAAAACTGTTAAACTTCTTTACAAACACACACACACACACACACACACGCGAGCGCGCACGCGCATGTTAGCGCGGACACACACACACATAGTGGTGTAATCAGTGATTAACGAGAACTATCATTACAGCACTCCGGACAGATTCATAGGTGCATCGATCTCCTCCTCAACGGCTCCACAAAAGTAGAAGACTGATTACCCCTCCCCTCCCCTTTTCTGTGTTGATTAATCATACGCGTTATGCCCTTGGTGAAGCATTCATATCTGGCTACTTGAGGTTGCATCCCCATGTTCACCAACCCGGACAAGGATACGGAGTCCTGCTTGTTATCGTGATCTTTGCGATATGCAGCACGCTCACATGACACTAATGACATCACTCCTGTCCAGTATCGGACCAGTTGTGGCAACTACCTTGTCTGCAACATAATCTACACGCTCACTGCCTTTAACACTCGCATAGGCTACATAAAGATAAAGTTTAGGTGAGCGGTCCACGCGTGCGAGGGTGTGTGTGTTCTTTCATTGTCCTTAGAGTGACCATACGTCCCGTTTTTATCGAGACAGCCTCGCGGTTTTCTGATGTCCCAACCATCCCGTTTGTCCTGGTGTCCTAACCGTCCTGTTTTTCCTAGTGTCCTAGTGTTTTGGTACTCAACAAAAACAAATAAAAAACAATAACTAATCTACTGTCACGATTTATAATAATCTAAAAGAAAGCTTGACTATAGAATATTTAATTAATTAACTCTTTGAGTCCCAGGGGGTTTAGCATCACAGGCCCAGGGGGTAGTAAAGAGTGTCATAAAATCAGCGCATTATGCGTTCATTGGGTTTCTAGGTAGGAACCTATGAACGTATGATGCGTTTCTTGGGACTAAAGAGTTAAGTAAAGGTCCCTTTTTCACGCGTTTTTGGCGTATTGGAAATATAGAGCTAGACCTGTATTTTTAAAGACCAATCGGCACTTGGTAAGTGATGTGGTCAGCCACCGCCTGTCGCCTTTATTTCCCATGATTACATCTGGTACCCACTCAAGGCTGGTTTGACCTGGGAATCTAGGTAATTTTTTTTTTAAGTACGGCTCCGTCAAGACACGAACCCACGACTTCCCGATCCGCAAGCTGGCGTCTTGCCGCTAACGCCACGACGACTCCCAACATTGAATAATGCTATTATTAATAGTTTTATATGTAGACCTTATTAGATGTCACAGTCTTAGATACTGTTATTACCTTAAATGAGCTGATGGTCAATAGGAAAAATATGATGCAAGAATTTCGATTTTAAAGCCATTTGTTTTCAAGGATACTAACAAGACACCTATTCCTACATTATTCGTCTTCCTCTGATGGGACCTAATTTTTCGTTATTTTGAAGCCCCACCCCGGCTGTTGCCGGGGACCCTAATATAACCTAACGATTGAACGGGGTTTCAGGGACCTCTCCAAGGGAGATCCTCATCTGCATAGTGGCACTTTGTGTCACCGTATGTTTATCGCTCTGTGTGATGTCATGGTGCGGTAAAACTCACATACATGCATTTCAGAGAAAGAAAAAAATGGGGACATGAATTAATTAATGTTGCGTTTACAATTTAGACTTGTTTTCCGAATGATGGAAAGTGACCTGAGTGCGACATCTCTAACACGGAAAACTGCACTGAAGATTGCACAGGACAGGAAAGGTCTTGTGTGGAACTAGGCGTAAAAAAAAACTGATGATGATGGATACAATTTACCATCATCATGTGGTGTGTCGTTGAGCATTTCGCCATATCACACGATCAACAGAATCACGGATCAGTTCAATGTTTCTGTGTTTTTGTCTTTTTTTTTTTTTTTCTCTTTGTTGGGGGGTGTTACCCCTTTTATTTCCATCTTGTATGTGTTGCGAATATAGTGTTTTTAGGTGTGTTGCTGTAGAAACAAAAATGCAACACTTAAAAGTGTAAGAGGGGCAGAAAAGTAAAGACAAAACACGGAAGGGGAGAGGAAAAGTCAGGGGGGGGGGACACAATTCATTTGTTTGTTTACAGTTGTTCTCCAATGTGTTATTATCTGTATCTGGCCAGGCCATCCAGGTATTTATCTCTTTGCCTTTCTCCTGCTCTCTTTCCAGCAGTCATGCGTGTGTTACCAAGTTTTCGGGTCTATTTTTTCTCATACGTCCAAAAATAGTGGCTGTCCACGTCTAATTGTTTAAGACTTTCACCTGTCTGGGTAAGGACTGCTTCATTTGTTTTTCAGGTGAAACATGGAAACACATTTTTAATAAGTATCCAGAAACCATGAGTTGTAAACCCTTTGTTTCGGTACTATGAATATCGCAACCCTTCGGCCTTGATTCTTGATAGATACCGTAAATCTGTAGCTTTTCTGCCTACCTCCTGACATGAACCCCGACCACAAGGAGTTCGTCATTAGGTCGCCGCGTAGTCCGGTTTAGTCACCTGCGCTAGCGAGATGGCTAAACATAGACAATATGCAGACAAGCTGAATAACATTTACTCACTGCAGAGATACGTTTTCTGAGAAGAATGCAGAGAGTGGTCTCGATGAGAGACTTCCTCCCCGAGTGCTGGAGGTCCCTGGTTCTGGCCCCATTGATGGCTGGGATTTTTTCCCGTGGACTTCTGGTAATTTCCCATGGTCTCTGGCACGGCCCCCTAGACCAGTCAGTCGTGGTCTTTGGGTAGTAAACCGTGTGAATTGTTGCGCACATGAAAAACTATCCTTTGGCAAGCGGAAATCGAAAAGAGTAGCCTAACGGCGCTGGCCGGGCAAAATTTAGAGTTAAAAATCAATCTAAAATAGTTCAGGATCCTCGCCGATGCTACGAAGTTCATGCACTGAGCTGAGACTGTTCAGACAGGTTTGACGAAGTTCATGCACTGAGCTGAGACTGTTCAGACAGGTTTGACGAAGTTCATGCACTGAGCTGAGACTGTTCAGACAGGTTTGACGAAGTTCATGCACTGAGCTGAGACTGTTCAGACAGGTTTGACGAAGTTCATGCACTGAGCTGAGACTGTTCAGACAGGTTTGACGAAGTTCATGCACTGAGCTGAGACTGTTCAGACAGGTTTGACGAAGTTCATGCACTGAGCTGAGACTGTTCAGACAGGTTTGACGAAGTTCATGCACTGAGCTGAGACTGTTCAGACAGGTTTGAGTTGGAAATAGAACGAAGCACTTATGGGTTACTACCTTATGTCATGATGATGATCCGTTGTTCAAACCAAACCAAACTAACACAGAGAATATCATGGAAGAATAGAAAGACAAGCCTTAGACTTTTTCGAAACATATAGGTTCCATTTTGTTTAGCTTTCCAAAGAATTCTTGGATTCTTCTATAAAATCATATCTCCGAAGCCCCAAGAAACCGTTTGGCTTCTTTATTAATTGTCCAGTATGTAACAGCCATATGTATGTATATAAGTTATACCCCACCAGGACATCACACAAGCGATAAACACCCGGTGACACAAAGTGCCACCAAGTGGATGAGGATCATCCATGGAGAGGTCCCGGAAACCCCGTTCAGCCGTGAGGCCATATTTCAGGCCTGGCTATATTTGAGGCCCCCAGCAAAAGCCAGGGTGGGGCTTCAAAATAACTAAAAATTGTGTGCCGCAAGGTGGTGACGAGATACGTTAACAACAGCCATTTGTTAAAACTTTTGTATGGGGCGAAAACATGGAGAACAACTAAGGCAATTACTAATAAACTACAAACATTCATTAACTGGTGCCTGCGCAGAATAGAAGGAATTAAATTTTATGATATAATAACTAATGTAGAGCTTTGGGAGAGAACTAAACAGGCTCCAGTGGACCAAGAGGTGAGGAAAAGACGCTGGCGTTGAATAGGACACACACTGAGAAAACAGGAGAACAGCATAACTTTAATATCTTTGCATTGGAACCCACAGGGGCATAGGAATAAAGGGAGGCCGAAAAACACATGGAGAAGAGAGCTTGAGAAGGAAGTAAGAAAGATGGGGAGGACATGGGGAGAGCTCCATGCAATGGAAAGCTTTTGATAAGGTTTGGAAGGAGGGGCTTTTGAAGAAATTGAGAAACTATAAAATAAATGGGAAAATGTTCAATTGGATTAAAGCATATCTACATAACAGAAAAGCCCGGGTACAGGTAGATGGTTTTAAAAGTAAAAAAGTTCTACTGCGACAAGGCGTCCCTCAAGGTGGTGTCCTGTCGCCCACACTTTTCCTCTTATTCATCAACGACCTGGTTGCTGAGATACCAAATGGAATCAAAATGGCAATGTATGCCGACGACCTGGTACTGTGGTGCACCAATGAACATGCAATAATAGCCACAAAAACATTACAGCGGGCTACAAATGCACTTGAGGCATGGGCCAATAGATGGTGTGTCAGCATCAACACAGACAAATGTAGCACCACACTCCTCACCCTCTCCCCAAAGCAAAAAGCGGGCATCATCATAATAAACGGAATACCCCTAAGAGATTATAAAGAGCCCACATACCTAGGAGTCACATTTTATGACAGGTTGACATGGAGAAAACATATCAACAAGGCAGCAGCCAAAGCCAGGAGGAAGACAGCAATACTAAGAAAACTAAGTGGAACCACATGGGGAGCCGATGGGAAAATACTCAATAAAGTATACAAGCAGAGCATACTTCCACACTTGGAATATGGGTCAACTGCATGGTGTTCAGCATCTAGTACCACATTAAAGCTGTTGGACAAAGTGCAAAATCAAGCGCTTAGAGTCATCACAGGAGGGATGAAATCAACCCCCATATTAGAAATGGAGAAAGCTGGCACTGAGAGAACGCAGAGATCCAAAGTTCCAAATACAAGCTGAAAAGTTCCTCAGTATGCCAGATCAC